AACAGGGTTAGCCAAAAGATACGCTTTAAGCACTTTCGTTTATCACACTTGATGGCTAATTTTGCTGGTCGAATTAACATGATATAAGTGGTACTATATGCTCAAGATTTCGAGGTTATTATCTATAGGAGGTGTACTTCGGCCGTCCCCGTAGTTAGTTTTGCTCAGGTAGGAGGTCGGAAGTAGTGACATGTTACGTCTTGCCCAAAAGCCCTCCCCTCCCCTCCCCTCCCCTCCCCTACCCCTCCCCTCCCCTCCCCTCCCCTCCCCGCTCCTCGACGACATCTTCATCGCCATGCTGAGCCGGGAGCTGAGAATATGGGGTTGTGAGTTTAGGGTTTTTTTTGGGGTTTGTGGTTGTGGGTTTAAGGGTTTTTGGGGGTACAAGAGGCTTCGGGGGCTTATGGTTTAGAGTCTATAGTCTACTAGGGTCCAAAAGGCTTAGGATCTAAAGCTACCCCTACGATCCTAGAGTCCTATATTCTAAGAGCCGGGTTGATTCAGGGCCTAATATTAAATCTGGATAATACATAAATCAGTAAGCCCTACACAAACCTTAAACCATGATTCTTAGGGCCTTAGGGTCTTTCCGGGTCGGCATTTGGGACTTAGGGCTTTAGGGCTTTAGGGCTTTCGGGTTTTAGGGTTTAGGGTTTTTTTTTAGGGTTTAGGGTTTAGGGTTTAGGTTTAGGTTTACCCCTAATTCCCATTCAAACCCCCTGGAGCGGCCGTTCTTCTTCATGGCGGCGACGATGCCAGACAAGGCCGCGGTGGGCCAAACTACGGTCCGAGCAGTGACCGTCGGTCTGTGCAAGACCGCCCGGGGGCCTTTGGTCTGCGCAAGACCATTGGCCCCATGTAATCTAAAGGCCCCCCCACCCTAAGACCCTAAGCTTCAGATTAGTTTGTTCTTTAGGCGTTTTTAGGGCACAGCCGCGGGTTGGAGGTAGGTCTGAGGCATTAGTTGAGGCATAGGCGGTTTCTTATTTTAGCGGCTGTGCTAGGGTAGGGTTGTGTTCCGGTCTGAGCAAGACCGGGAAAAGTAACGGGTCTGAGGAAGACCCAGGCGTGAGGTCTGAGCAAGACCCCGCCCGCAGGATCAAATGTGATCCAGTGGACGGACGTGGTCCGCCGCGCAGCTCGTCATCGCCAAAGTAGGCGTCGGGTGCGCTTCTCAGTGGTGGTTACTGCCCGGTATGGCCCCTACAGGGGTGGGACCTTGTTCCCGGCAGATAACTCCCTGGGTCGCTAAATCTCGATGCCCAAACGGCTTGACTTGCTGCGTTGGTCCACCGATGTCCACTGGGTCCTTTGATCCCTGCGCTAGATCGTTTTCAGGTCTGTGCAAGACCAAGCCTCGAGGCCCTCGTGACCAGTCCCGCGCAAGGGCTGGTTCACTCGTTCGGGGATGGGCCGGGCTTCTTTGGAATTCAGTGTTCCAGGTAGTTTACTGGGGCCGTTCAATTGGAGATTTTGGCTTGGGCCACCCCCAAGTAAGTTCAGGGATGTCTGGGAGTTTAGTATTTAGGGATTTAGGGTTTAGTAAGGGTTTCAGTAAGGGTTCTGGGTTTAGTTGATGCCCAGGTTTGAGGCTTTGGGATATAATAGTCGTAATTTACTCATAATATTAATAATATATATATATATATAGATAGTGAAGTTGCAACGGGCATGGGTTGGATTTCAGAGCGAAGTCCTTTTCAGTGGGTTTTTGGTTTTGTGTAAACCATAATAATACCCGCCCCCGCCACTCGATACCAGGTCATCCCCAAACTCTTACTACACCCTTAATTCTAATGTTTACCCTTACAAAACCACCAACCCTGAATGACTACAACACCTTCATTTAGTGCTGTCTTGCCTCTTGCTGCCAAACATCCCTAAACCTTAAACCTTACTACTCAAATATATTGAACCCATGCTCTTATCAGGATGACACAATACTGGTCACTGAATCTTGCATCCAATCTGGACATCAACATGATCCCATATTCTTTACACCCTTCGTCAACCCCAAACCCTAAGTAGTACTAAACATAGACGGACGGACAAAATCACGTGCCGGGCCTGAGGCCGACCTTGGCGGCTTCTGGTGGGTTTGCTCACCCAGGCTGGACCAATTGGGAGTGCATGCACGTGCATCGTTGTGTTTGAGCCTGCATGGGATTGCTCAGCATTTCGAGCAGATTGTCATGCCAGGTCCAACGTGGTCTTCTCCGGCTACTTTGAGGAGGCTGGCTGATTCTTTCACCGTGCAGCTCTTTGTTAGAGTTCATGCAGGCCAGTGCTCATGAACAAGTTCTATGTGGGAGGCCTATGCAGGTTTAAGGTTTTTGTGCGTTTTGGGAGTGGCTCTTGCTGCAGGTCCGACGATGTC